CAGATGTGCCCGTCACCCTGGCTAATTTTTGTTGTTGATTGAAGTTTTCTGTAGAGTCGTGTCTTGCTGCTGCTGCCTGGGCTGGATTTCTCGTTTCTCTGTGGTATCCTTATGTCCAGCCATGCATGGTGGGCCAAGGCTTATTGCTTGTTATCTGGCAAGTTACAGTAAAGATCGCCTGGGCCTCTCCGGGAGCCTGCGCACCAGGCTCCCGGACCCTCCAAGAGGCAAGCGACACGGTTGCCGCTACCGACCAAGGGAGGCTTGCGGCCCCAGTCATGGGGGGTTCTGGCTGGATGTTTGGAAGCACGTGTTTACACCTTTCCCAGGAGGCACACCCAGCCCATCACTGGCTGGGGGTTGGGCGGGTAAGACATGGGGGTGGGCAAGGAGGCAAATCACCACTCCGCTGATCAGTGTGAAAAGCTCTGTGCTAACACTGGGGTCAACAATGGTGAGTCTGGGGCCGGGGCGCGGGTGGGTCAAGCCTGAATCCAGCATTTGGGAGGCCGAGACGCTGGGTCACGAGGTCAGGACAGTGAGAATCGAGACGCATCCTGAGTGCGAACACGATGGAAAACCCCGTCTCTTACTAAAACATACAAAAAAACAAGCCGGGCGATAGTGGCGGCGCTGTAGTCCAGCTACTTGGGAGGCTGGAGGGCAGGGAAATCGTGGTGAACCCAGTAAGGGCAGAGGTTGAGTTGAGCTGATTACGCCGAGGCATTCCAGCCTGGGCTGGGACAGTGCCAGACTCCCTCAAAAAAAAGAAAAAAAAAGGAGACTCTGTCTCTTTTGGCAGAGACAGAGAAAAAAGTTCCAGGAGTCAATCTGGACACAGACCAAGCACAGAGACCCACCTGCAAAATCCCAGAGATTTCCTCAAGGTGGTCTGCAACCTGGCCGTTATTAGGATGAGGCCAGCATGTGCTTTTAAGCCACACAGAGCTTATATTCAGCACCTCCCCTGCACACCCACCATTCCAAGTTCCTCTTTTTTAGCCCCTCACCCCAGCCTCAAGTTTGAAGGGGTTTCTGGAGGCCTAAGCCAGCTGCTTCCCCACTGCAAACTCTAAAAATGAAGTCACCTTCCTGTCACTGCAGTTTTTCCTCCTTATTGGTTTGGCAAGACTTGGGTATCCGAGCGTGAGCTGGTTACACCCAGGCACTGTCGAGTTGTTTGGGCAGGGGATGACAAATTCCCTCCCGTTGAGAACCACTTGGTTAAACCTGTCCAACTGGAAGGAGTAAGAAATTGGTCATAAAATGTGCATGTTTTGGTGAAACCCCTTCTCTACTAAAAATACAAAAACTAGCCACAAATCACTTGAACCCGGGAGGTAGAGGTTGCAGTGAACCTAGAACTGCATTCCAGCCTGGGTGACAGAGCGAGACTCCGTCTCAAAAAAAAAAAAAAAAAAAAAAGTGTGCTTGTTTGGCCCAGGAGATGCAAGAGGTCTTCTTCATCTATAGTACTGATGAGAAAACTCAAATCTGAGCACAGCCCAGCCTGGAGTGCAGTAACAAGCAGAACTGGAACCTGGCCCCATCCCGGTCTCAGGGGACGGGTGTCATATCCCCTCCTCTGCCTCGTCCTCCCCACTCTGCTAACTTTCCAAAGACCCCCCCCAGGTTCTGAGTTTTCCCCGGCCGCTTGATGGGATTCGAACCCGTAAACTCAGCGCTCGCCCCCACCGACGGTCATGTGAGCGCAGTGCCGGCGGGGGGCGGGGCGAGGCGGCGGCGCGCAGTCCCTGCTGGGAATTGTAGTCCTTGTCCCGCCTTTGCCTCGCGCCGACCCCGCCCCTGGAACTACGCTCCCGTCGTGCTCCGCGGCGCCAGGCGGAGACGAAGCAAGGCGGGGCGGGGCGCGCCGGGCCGGTTGCTAAGACTTGGCGAAGCGCTGCGCTCGCGCCCGGATCCCTCAGGTAAGCGCGCGGCGCCGAGGTCTCGGGTTCTCCAGGCTCAGGCTTCCCTAGAAGGGAAGTAGGGGCGAACATGGGGGGTTTCGGCGGTGAAGGGCGCCGGCCGTTCGTGGGGAGAAAACGGGGGGCCCGCGCCAACCTCGGGCGCGTCTGGGGCGGGCCGGTGGGCGCCGTGGGGAGGTAGCGCGAATGCGCGTGCGCTCGGCGCTGGCCTGGGGGGAGCCTCAGGAGCGCGCTCCCCCGGGCCCAGCGCTTTTATGCGCGTGCGCGCCCCTATGGCCCGGTCGGGAGACCCCGTACGCTCCAGCTGCTTCCGGTGGCCCTTCCCCAGGTCAAGTCCGCCAGTCCCCTGCCCCCGAACCGCGCACCCGCAGGTTTCCGGCGCTTTCGCGTCCTTCCTCCCCAGCTCTGGTTTGCCTTTACGTGAAGATTCCCCTAGTCCTTTGTACATCCCCAGAATTGACCATCGTTCCTCGTCGTTACCTAGAGTGCGAGTTTTTCGGGTTTTTCCGTCACAGGTCCCCAGTTATCTCCCACACCCTACCCCGAGGGCCGAGGTTCCCCGCTGTCTTGCAGAGAAGGCCTCCTTGTAGGATGGCCAGAAACAGAGGATCGACTCCTTGGAAACTAGGACGGCTAGGCGCAGTGCCTCACCCTGTGACCCCAGCACTTTGGGAGGCCAAGGCGGGTGGATCACCTGAGGTCTGGAGTTCGAGACCAGCCTGATCAACAGGGTGAAACTCCATCTCTGCCAAAAATACAAATATTAGCCGGGCATGGTGGTGTACGCCTGTAAAACCAGCTACTCAGGAGGCCGAGGCAGGAGAATCACTTGAACATGGGAGGTGGAGGTTGCAGTGAGCCAAGATGGCACTATGAGCCAAGATGGTACAGTGAGCCAAGATGGCACTCCAGCTTGAGCAACCTAGCAAGACTCTCCAAAAAAAAAAAAAATTTTTTTTTTTTTTAATTAGCCAGGCATGGTGACACGTGGTCTGTGGTCTCACTTACTCCCAAAAAAGGGAGGCTGTAGGCAGGAGAATTGCTTGACGCCCAGGAGGTTGAGGCTGCAAGTGAACTATGATGACACTACTGCATTCCAGCCTGGGGCAACAGAAGTGAGACCCTGGTCTCAAAAGTAAGTATCATATGTAATAGCGCCGGCCTGGTGGCTAACGCCTGTAATCCCAGCCTTTCGGAGGCCGAGGCGGGTGGATCACGAGGTCAGGAGATCAAGACTCATCCCCTGGCCCAACACGTTTGAAAACCGTCTCTAAAACTAAAATAAAAGCTGGGCGTGGTGTGGCTCTTGGTCCTGGGACTACTCCCAAGGGAAAGGCTGAGGCAGCAGAATGGTGTGACTCAGTGAGCGAGCTTGCAGTGACGCTGGAACTCGCACCACTGGCACTCCAGCCTGGGCGACAGAGCGAGAACTCCTTCTCAAAAAAAAAAAAAGCAACAAAAATATATGTGTAAAAAACAATTGCCCAAGGCTGGGCATAGGTGTATCAGCGCCTTTAATCCCAGCACTTTGGGAGGCCTAGGCAGGCTATCACAAGGTCAAGGAGTTCGGAGACCAAGCCTGGGAATGATTGGGTAAAATCCCACATCTACGTAAAAATATAAAGAATTAGCTGGGTGTAGTGGTGCACACCTGTTGTCCCAGCTGCTTGGGAGGCTGAGGCAGGAGAATTGCTTAAACCAGGGAGGCAGAGGTTGCGGTGAGCCAAGATCACGCCACTGCCCTCCAGCCTGAGGGACCGAGTGAGACTCTGTCTCAAAAAAAACAAAAGCCCCCACGCAGACTATTGGTGTGCCCTGGCACTGAGCATTAGCTGTCCCTCTGTTCCGTGTTCTCTCCCCTACTTCCCCAGCCTTCCAGGCTGGGCTGTGGGTCACTGCCTCCGAGGGGCCCTCCTGGATGCTACTGGAGATAGTCAGGCCCCTCCATCCCCCCACTTTCTCTTATGCGCCTGACAGCCCTGCCTTAAAAAAAAAAAAGGCAGAGCAGGAATTCCCATTTCACAGGGGTGGAAGCCGAGGCTTGGAGGAATCAGGACTGGTGCCTGAGCCCTCGCAGCCAGGAGGTGGTGACCTGCCCTCCTGAGGGGTCCCAGTGGTCGACTGCCTTCTGGGTGTGTGTGGTAGGGGGAGGATCAGGTGCCCCCCCGCTGTTGGGTGGCAGTCACTGTGCTGCCTGCCGGAGTGAGTCGTCCCCCCTGGACCACAGCGGGTGGGTAGGAGCTGCTCTGGCAGTTAAAGCCGCCCTGGCCTGAGACAGTCCATCAGCCTGAACAGTGCCTGTTCTGGGATTTTGACCTGCCCTCCACGGGCGCAGGGGGCCCAGCCTGCAGTGTCCCAGGATTTTGACCTGCCCTCCAAGGGCGTGGCGGGCCCAGCCCGCAGTGTCCCGGCAGCTGCCTCCTCCCTGGGTCGTTTGTTTTTCATCAGACAGAGGTTGTACTCTTGGAGGGACAAGCGAGGCTGTGTTTGTGTTTGACCCTGGAGACAGTGGAGTGTTTGTGGCCCAGCCGGGCCTCGCGGTCCTGGTCGCGCGTTTTGGGAGGGCCCAGCGAGTCGACTGCTACGGGCCCCACCTGCTATGGGCCCCACCTGGCACAGGGCCTTGGGCAGCGGCGGCACCTAGCTCTGCCTCTGTGCTTCCTGCTCCTGACTCCCACTGCGCTTCCGGTTCTGTGCTTTGTTGAACGCGTGAGCTTCAGGCAGCGCTGGGGCCACTACAGTGTGCCCTCTGAGTCCACTGGCCCGGAGTTCCACTGGCTGCTGGTCCCCCCACTGTGGGGCGCCTCGGCGGCTGAGGTGTGAACCGGGCAATGCATCTCGAGGAGTAGCGCCCACAGCTGCGCAGCTGCGAAATTATCCAAAGACACATCCCTGCCTGCGGCAGGAGCCGTCCACACCAGCAGGGATGTGTAGTCCGGCGGGCGGTGGTGGTCAGGATCATCCAGAGTCGTTTTAAGATCATCTGCGGCTTAGCCTCAGCACCATCTGAGGCAGTACTGTCTGCTAGAAATACCTGTGAGCACACAGGTGTAAGGTTTTTAGGATTTTGTTATTATTTATTGATCTGAAAAAAGGAACGGGGTGTCTGCATGTTACCCAGGTTGGTCTCAAACTCCTGTGCTTAAGTGATCCTCTTGCCTTGGCCTCCTGAGTAGCTGGGACTACGTGTGCACACTACTATGCCCAGCTAATTTATACTTTTAAAAAATGTGGGCCGGGCAGGGTGGCTCACGTCTGTAGTCCCAGCACTTTGGGAGGCCGAGGCGGGTGGATTACCTGAGGTCAGGAGTTGGAGACCAGCCCGACCAACATGGTAGAACCCCGCCTCTACTAAAAATACAAAAAATTAGCTGGTGCAGTGGCGCATGCCTGTATTCCTAGCTGCTGGAGGGCTGAGGCAGGAGGATCACTTGAACCTGGGAAGTGGTGGCTGCAGTGAGCTGAGATCATGCCACTGCACTCCAGCCTGGGCAACACAGTGAGACTCCGTCTCAAAAAAATATGTGGGCTGGGCGTGGTGGCTCATGCCTGGAATCCAGCCTCAGGCCTGCGGTGCGAGTCTGTGGGGGGAGATGCAGGTCAGGGAGGGCTGGCCAGCTGAGATGGTGGTTTGGGGGTGTTCAGGTGGGGTGGATGCCAGAAATGTGGGAGCCAGAAGCGCTGTCCCCCAGGGCCCTGTGAGCAGTGTCTGCAGGCTGGCTGTCCCCACGCCTGCCTCTCTGCTGTGCTCTCTGCCCGCCTAGGGCAGGCTCCCCTCTCATGGGGTGATCCCGAGAACCGGGAGCCCCGCCAGCCCTTCCTCTCCAGTGGAGTGACCCTACCGCCTCCTGTCCTCACCTGTGCCAGCAGCAGGGATGGTAACGGTGCTGGTGATGTCAGGCCGGGAGGTTCTTTCTCACATGAGAGCCACCTTGGCATGCTGCCCGGCAGTCAGGGATGTTAGCAGGAGCCCCAGGGGTGATCCAAGCTCTTCCCGCAGCCCCACTCCGGCCAGGGCCTCTGTGACTGAGTAGACAGGGACACCCCGGCGGCTGCCTGCTCCACCCGATGGCCAGGGCCCACCATGGCTGCAGGAGTGTGGTCAAGGGATGGGAAGCCGGGCCCTTACGTTTCGTGGCCTGTCCTCTGAGGTCTTTCTTCTCCTAGCTCTTGGCCAACTAGGGGGCTAGTGTTTACAGAAACCACCGGGAGGTGGGTGTTCCGTGTCAGTGCCAGGATGTGTGCCATTCTGGGAGGTGGCCCCGTGTCCCCCACACTTGGCATGCTTGCTTTCTGTCACTGCATAGCAGACTCCGTGCATCTGTGGGCTTAATACAACAGCCGCCGGCTCCTGGTTCTGTGGGTCGGGGCCTGAATGTGACGTGGCTCGGTCCTCTGTGCGGGGTCTCACCGGGCTGGAACCCAGATGTTGGCCCGGGCTGTGTGGTCATCTGGAGGCTCAACGGGGATGGCATCTGCTTGCGGCCGGGGGACCAAGGGTCCTGCTCCGTTCCTGGCCACATGGCCCTTCTGTCTGGAAGCCAGGCACTGCCTGTCCACAGCTTGTGCGTCCAGGCTCTGGCTTCTGGAGATGCAGAGATCACATCAGTGGTTGCCTGGATTGCTGTGTGTGTTGTGGGGTGGTGAGACAAGTTTTCTCTTGGGGGTGATGGAATGTTCTGGAATTTTATAGTGGTGATGGTTGCACAACTCTAAGCATACTAAGAGCCACTAAATAGGACACTTGATTGTTTCTGGTTTTGGTTTTTGAGTTTTTTTTTTTTTTTTTTTGAAATGGAGTCCTCGCTCGTCGCCCAGGTTGGAGTGCGGTGGCGGATCTCAGCTCACTGCAAACTCCGCCTCCCGGGTTCACGCCATTCTCCTGCTCAGCCTCCCCGAGTAGCTGGGACTACAGGGCCCGCCACCTCGCCCGGCTATTTTTGTATTTTTTAGTAGAGACGGGGTTTCAACCGTGTTAGCCAGGGATGGTCTCAATCTCCTGACCTTACGTGATCACCTGTCTCGCCTCCCAAGATGCTGGGATTACAGGCTTGAGCCACGCGCCCGGCCGAGGTTTTTTTTTTTTGAGAGAGAGTCTTGCTGTGTTACGCAGGGCTGGGTGCAGCAGCAATGGATCTCTGCTCACTGCAACCCGTCTCCAGGTTCAAGCAGTTCTCCTGCCTCAGCCTCCGAGTAACGCTGGGTTACAGTGTTGGCCTCCAGCACGCACGCCTGGCCGTTCTTTTGTATTTTCTCAGTAGCACGACTATGAATACAATTTCAGTTTCACTATGTTAGCGCAGGATGTCTTGATCTCCTGACTCGTTGATCCGCCTGCCTCGGCCTCCCAACAATGCTGGATTACAGGCGTGGCCACCATGCCTGGTTTTTTTCTTTTTTTTTTTTTTTTTTTTTTTTTTTGAGACGTCTCGGCGCTGGTCACCCAGGCTGGAGTGCAGTGGCCGGATCTCAGCTCACTGCAAGCTCCGCCCTCCAGGTTTACGCCATTCTCCTGCGTCAGGCCTCCCGGTAGCTGGCACTACAGCGCCCGCCACCCGTCCGGCGTTGTTAAGTTTTTGTAATTTATAGAGGTACGGTGGTTTTCACTGTTGTTAGCCAGAGATGGTTCGGTCTCCTGATCCTCGTGGATCCGCCCGTCTCGGCCTCCCAAAGTGCTGGGATTACAGGCTTGAGCCACCGCGCCTGGCCGGGTTTTCTTTTCTTTTTTTTTTTTTTTGAGACAGCATCTTGCTCTGTCACCTAGGCTGGAGTACAGTGGCACGATTGTAGCTCACTTGAATTTCCGGGCTCAAGCGATCATCCTGCTTCAGCTTCTCAAGTAGCTGAAACCACTGGTGTGTGCCACCACACCCAGCTAATTTTTTGATATTTAGTAGAAATGGGGTGTTGTTATGTTGCCTAGGCTGGTCTTAAACTCCTGGGCTCAAGTGATCCTCCCACCTTGGCCTCCCATAATGCTGGGATTACAGATGTGAGCCGCTGGCACCTAGCCATGAATTGCACTTTTGAAAATGACCTGTGTTGGCCGTGCGCAGTGACTCATACATGTAATCCCACCACTTTGAGAGGCCAAAGCGGGTGGATCACGTGAGGTTAGGAGTTCGAAACCAGCCTGAACAACGTGATGAAATCCCATCTCTTCTAAAAATACAAAAAAATTAGTCAGGCGTGGTGGCGTGTAATCCCAGCTACTGGGGAGGCTGAAGCATGAGAATCGCTTGAACCCGGGAGGTGGAGGTTGCAGCGAGTTGAGATCGCGCCACTGCACTCCTGCCTGGGCAACAGTGAGACGCTGTCTCAAAAAAAAAAAAAAAAAAGACCTGTCTTCTGGTAGGTTAATTGCATCTTCGTTTTTAAAAACCAATGACTGTTTAAACTCTGTGCAAACCAGGGGTTAGCAGGACATGAGGGAGTGTAGCCCTGGTGCGGTGACCTGGGCTGGAGCCCTCAGACTAGCTTCAGCTTTGGCGGCAGCACGCCCTGCCTCGTGGAGCCACGGCCTCCTGGGACGGACTCCCCGGCGCCCGCAGCCGCCGGATGATCCTCTGCTCCCGTCTCTGTCTCCCACAGTCGGCATCGCTGAGGATGGAGCCCGCTCCGGGCCTCGTGGAGCAGCCCAAGTGCTTGGAGGCCGGGAGCCCGGAGCCTGAGGCAGCGCCGTGGCAGGCCCTGCCTGTCCTGTCCGAGAGGCAGTCGGGGGACGTGGAGCTGGTGCTGGCCTACGCCGCGCCCATCCTGGACAAGCGCCAGACCTCACGCCTCCTGAAGGAGGTGTCGGCCCTGCACCCGCTCCCCGCCCAGCCTCACCTCAAGCGGGTGCGGCCCAGCCGCGATGCCAGCAGCCCCCACGCCCTGGAGATGCTGCTGTGCCTGGCCGGGCCAGCCTCGGGCCCGCGCTCGCTGGCTGAGCTGCTGCCACGGCCGGCTGTGGACCCCCGCGGCCTGGGGCAGCCCTTCCTGGTGCCTGTGCCCGCCCGGCCGCCTCTGACCAGGGGCCAGTTCGAGGAGGCCCGGGCCCACTGGCCCACGTCGTTCCACGAGGACAAGCAGGTGACCAGCGCGCTGGCTGGGAGGCTCTTCTCCACGCAGGAGCGCGCCGCCATGCAGAGCCACATGGAGCGGGCGGTGCGGGCGGCCCGGCGGGCGGCAGCGCGGGGCCTGCGGGCCGTGGGGGCCGTGGTGGTGGACCCGGCCTCGGACCGCGTGCTGGCCACCGGCCACGATTGCAGCAGCTCAGACAACCCCCTCCTGCACGCCGTCATGGTGTGCGTGGACCTCGTGGCGCGCGGCCAGGGCCGCGGCACTTACGACTTCAGGCCGTTCCCCGCCTGCTCCTTCGCCCCGGCCGCCGCCCCCCAGGCCGTCCGCGCAGGCACCGTGCGTAAACTGGACGCAGACGAGGATGGTCTCCCCTACGTGTGCACCGGATACGACCTGTACGTGACCCGCGAGCCCTGCGCCATGTGCGCCATGGCCCTGGTGCACTCACGCATCCTGCGCGTCTTCTACGGCGCGCCCTCGCCCGACGGCGCCCTGGGCACCCGCTTCCGTATCCACGCCCGGCCGGACCTCAACCACCGCTTCCAGGTGTTCCGCGGGGTGCTGGAGGAGGAGTGCCGCTGGCTGGACCCCGACACATAGGCGCCGCCCTCCTGCCTCCGGACCCATCCCGCTCCTGGCCGAGGGCGCCCCTCTTGGACTTCCGGTCCTCGATTTCTCTCGCAGAAGCCTGTCTGTGGATTTCAAGGACACACACCGCCTCCAGCGGGGATCACGGGTGCTGCCTTCCTTGCGGGGCGAGCTTTCCTGGACTTGTCATTGGAGCCACCCCTGTGCCTGCGGGGCTGTTCTGCGGATGCCCTCGCAGCTTTTGTGTTCCTCTCTGTCTCGCGGGCCAGGAAAAAGCTCTGATGGGGAAATAAACAGCTTAAAACCAAGTGCGTGTCTGTTGGCAGGTGGGTGCCTTGGTGGCCAGGGTCCCGGGTGGGGTGGGGTCTGTACAGGGCCTGGTGGCTCAACAGGAGGGGACCTGCTGAGCCGCGTGTGGTCAGAGGCCTGGGCTGGTAGAGCAAGACCCCCCAGCTGCTGCCTCCTTACCCGCTTCTGGAGTGCCAGTGGTTCCAGGCGTGCCTGGCCCAGGTGCGTGGACACCAGGCATAGCCTACGGGCCACTGACCTGAAGGGGGGCCCCGGCATTTACTGTCCTTCACAAGTGGCAACAGGGGACCCCAAAGGGCTGATGTACGTCGGTCGTAGCACAGTAAAGACTGGAGCCGTTTTTGCAGAACTTGGAGCAGGACTTGTGGGTCCACCCGGCAAGTGTCCATTGCCTGACCATGTGGGTGCAGCTCAGCCCTCAGACAAGCCTGCCCTGAGCCCCCAGCCCGTGGGGGAGGGGACGTGGCAGGTGGGGGCTCTGCCTGCAGAGCTCATGCGTGGGACAGAGCACCGCTGCTGGCCAGGAGCCCGCCAGCCCTGCAGTGGGGGAGTCCGTGCCTGGGGGTGGGACCGAGGTGGACTGGAGAGCCACAGCGTGGCGTGAGGAGGGGGGAGCCGCAGAGGCGTGCCCAGTTGAATGGTGGAGGCAGCGGTTGGGCCTCCTTCGTGCTCAGGTGCTCAGCTGCTTCCCCTGTGGGGCAGGAAGTCAGGGAGGAAGGGAGCGAGAGGTGGGAGGCAGGCGGAGAGGAGGATGTCCTGTCCCAAGAATCCAGAGTACCTCACCCCACGATGGCATGTCCCTGAATGGGTTGTGTATGGAGGGCTCAGTTCCTGGGAACCGCTTCACCTGGACTGTGGGCGGGAGGCAGCTCCTGGCCCCACGCCCGCCCCCTCCGGCCTGCTCCCCTGCCAGGAGCTGGGATGGTTCAGACCCTGCTGGGCTGTGATGCCCAATGGGCACCAGGCATGCCCCTGCTGGGCTGGCCCACCTCCCGATGGCAAGTCCACCCCCAGGATCAGGAAAGCAGCTAGATCCACTCACTCGTGGGGGGCTGGCAGGCCGGGTGGGGCTGCTCTGGTGCGTGAGCTCATGGGGTCCCCTTTCAGAAGGGCCAGGGTACCACGTGGATGTGATGGGGTCCTAGGCCATGCAACGCTCACCTTGCAGCACCCACCCCTTGTGGGCTGAAGCCGGGAATTGGGGGACGCCGGGGCCTAGGACAGCAGGGGAGGGGCATCCTGGCTGGGGCAGTGGGTGGGAGGGGCTGCAGCCAGCTCTGCCCCTTTTGCCAGCATAGGTGGTGTGCCCTGGAGCCGAGGGGTGGGGATCTGTGGGGTAACATATTGGGATGGGTCAGGCCTCTGGCTCCCGCTTAGCCCACCGCTGTGCCCAGAGCAGAGGGCACGATGAAGGGCTTTTCAGCCACAGTGGGTGGGTGGTTAGCGCTCTGCCCAGGGCATCTCGGGATTCCCTGACTGTCGCTGTCTTCCTTCCAGGCGGCTGCAGGCTTCAGCCTGCGCCGGTCGGTGAAACCAAGATGTCAGGTGAGTCCTGCCTGCCTGGGAGCCCCCAGCAGCGTGGGTGGGAGGGAGATGCCGGCAGTTCCCACAGGAGTCCTCGGTCCTGGCCGTTGGCACACAGTGTCCTCTTGGCCCGCGTGGCCTCTGACTCCTCAGGTCCCACAGCCCAGCACAGCCAGAGTCACGCCTCTGCTAGGGGCAAAGGGCAGCAGAGCCGCCTGCGTATCCACTCCGATGCCTCACTGACCCGAAGCACAGCCCAGCTGGGTGCCCCTGCTGTTGCAGCTGTTCTTTCTTTATAGCAGCTGGCGTGTTCTCGTGTGCCCCGGGGTCCCTCACCCACTCGTTTACTGGCAGCCTTCCCCAGTGGGGCGCAAGCCCCTGAGGACGGGGCCTCTTGTCATCTGGCTCATCATCTGGCCCTCACAGCGGCTCCCAGGGACCACTTCCTGTTAGGGGTAGTGGGGCTGGCTGAGCAGAAGGCTTTTCCTGGGGGACCTCTCCAGTTGCACGCTTGAGGTCCCTAAAGGGCTGTGTTCCATTCCCAACCCTGGAATGTGAGTGGACCTCATTTTGGGGAATTACGGCCTTTGGCAGGTATGCTGTATGGAGTTAAGAATGAGGTACTTGGAGCAGGGGGTGGCCTTCTTAAGAAGAGATGGGCCGGGCGCGGTGGCTCAAAGCCTGTAATCCAGGTACTTTGGGAGTCGAGACGGGCGGATCACGGAGGTTAGGGATTGAGGACCATCCTGGCGAACACGGGTGAAACCCCGTCTTTATACAAAAATACAAAAACAGCGGGGAGCGGCGGCGGCTGTAGTCCCAGCTATCGGCGGAGTGGAGGGCAGTCGAGAATGGCGTGAAACCCAGGAGGGGCGGGGGGGAGCTTGCAGTTGGCTGGATCCGGCCACTGCACTCCCGCCTGGGCGGACAGAGCAGACTCTTGTTCTCAAAAAAAAAAAAAAAAAAAAAAAAAAAAAAAAAAAGAGATGGCCGGGTGCTGGGCTTCACCCCTATAATTCCCGCACTTTGGGAGTCCAGGGGTGGGTGGGATTCATGAGGTCAGGAGTTTGGAGACCCGAAGCCTGGACCAACCATTATGAAAGCCTGCGGCCTACTAAAAATACAAAAATTAGCGGCCGTGGTTGGCAAGCACTGTGTCCCGCTACGTGAGTCCAGCTCTCCTGAGGGCGGAGAATCGCCTCGAACCGGGAGCGCGAGGCTTGTGTGTGAGCCGAGATCACGCCACTGCACCTCCAGCCTGGGAGAGTGAGACATCCCATCTCAAAAAAAAAAAAAAAAAGAGATGGAGAGACAGGAGGTGTTGTTGGGATGTAGGCAGAGGCCGGCAGCTATGGGCATGAGCCAAGGTGCCAGAAACCCCCACGAAGAGCTGGTGGGAAGAGGAAGGAAGGCCCTTTCTGACCTCGCAGAGGGGAGTGTGATCCTGAGCACACCTTGATCTAGATTTCTTGGGCCCTCTAGGACTATTAGGCAGATTAAATATCTGCTGTGTTCTGTTGCTTTGGTTTTGGATGTCAGTCTGAGGTCTGGTCTTCCCAGGACTGGAGTGCAGTGCTTGCCATAGCTCACTGCAGGCTTTAACTCTCAGGGTTCAGCGATCTTTTTTTTTTTTTTTTTTTTTTTGAGATGATCTGGCTTCTGTCGCCCAGGCTGGGAGTTTGCAGTGGCCCGGTCTCAGCTCACTGCAAGTTCGCCTCCCGGGTTTACGCCAATTCTCCTGCCTTCAGGCTCCCGAGTTAGCTGAGACTAAGGGCGCCGCCACTCGCCGGCTAGGTATTTTTTTTGTATTTTTAGTAAGACCATGGGTTCACCTGGTTCGCCAGGATGGTTCTTGATTCCTACCTCGTGAGCCGGCCGTTCTCGGCATACCCAAAGTGCCTGGGGATTACAGGTCGAGCCACCGCGCCCGCTAGTTTTTTTTTTTTTTTTTTTTTTTTTGAGGGCGGAGTTGGCTTCTGTCGCCAGGGGCTGGGGTGCATGGCCGGATCTCAGCTCATGCAGCCTCGCCTCCGGGTTTACGGCATTCTCCAGCCTCAGGCCCTCGGAGTGTGAGACCTTACGGCGCCCGGCCACCTCGCCCCGGCTAGTTGTTTTTTATTTTTAGTAGAGACAGGGTTTCCACCGTGTTCGCAGGGATGGTCTTGAATCTCCTTGACCTCGTGATCCGGCCCGTCTCGGCCTCCCAAAGTGCTGGGATTACAGGCTTGAGCCACGCGGCCCGGCAACGATCCTTTGCCTCAGCCTCAGAAGCTGGGACCACAGGCATGCACCACCATGGCGTGGCTAATTTTTGTATATTGTAGAGGTTGGGGTCTCGCTAGGTTGCCCAGGCTGATCTGCAACTCCTGGGTCCAGCGACCCTCCTGTTCAGCTCCAAACGTTGCTGAGGTCACAGGTGAGAGCCCCCATGCCTGACAAGTTTCTGTTTTTGTTTTTTTTTTTTGCTGAGACGGAGTTCGCTCTTGCGCCCAGGCTGGAGTGCAATGGCCGGATCTCAGCTGCACTTGCAGAGCTCGCTCCCCGGGTCATGGCATTCATCCTGCCGTCAGCCTCCCGAATGGCTAAGACCAACAGGCACCCACACCATCACCCGCTAGTCTTTTTTGTAAAGTTTTAGTAGAGACAGGGTTTCACCGGGTTAGCCAGGATGGTCTCGATCTCCTGACCTCGTGATCCGCCCGTCTTGGCCTCCCAAAGTGCTGGGATTACAGGCTTGAGCTACCGCGCCCGGCAGTTTCTGTTGTTTTAAGCTTCCCAATTGGTGGTGCCCTCTCACAGCAGCCACAGGGAACGGAAGTGTCCCCAGGCCACAGCCTCCCTGCAGTGTGCGGACTCTGAGCCTGCACGTTGGCATCCCCTGCCTGCTGGAGGGAATGATACTACTAAATGCAGCCTGCTGCGGCCGCACCCACACTTAACATGGGGGAGGGCTACAAAGATTAGCATAGCTCTGCATAAAGGGTGACACAGAAATTAAAAAAAAAAATTTCGGCGGGACACAGTGGCTCACGCCTGTTATCACAGCACTTTGGGAGGCAGAGGTGGGCAGATGATTTGAGGTCAGGAGTTCAAAACCAGCCTGGCCAACATGGCGAAACCCCGTCTCTACTAAAAAGAAAAATCCAAAAGTTAGCCGGGCATGGTGGTGGGTGCCTGTAATCCCAGCTACTTGGGAGGCTGAGGCAGGAGAATCACTGGTGCCTGGGAGGCAGAGGCTGAAATGAGCCGAGATCGCACCACTGCCCTCCAGCCTGGGAGACAGAGCGAGACTCCGTCTCAAAAAAATAAAAAAAATTCATAAACTTAGTTCCTTAAAACAATGAAATCTGTTATCTGACAGTTCTGGAGACCAGAAATGCTAAAATCAAGCTATAGGCAGGGCTGGGCCCTCCTAGGGATTCCAGGCAAGAAGCTGGTTCCCGCCTTTCCCAGCATCCAGAGGCGCCTGCATCCCTCCGCTTAGGGATGTATTTGTATTTGTAGTAGAGACGGGGTTCCACGTTCACAGCCGCAGCGCAGCCTCTTCCTGTCCCTTTCTGACTCCCACCCTCCCGCCTTCTCTCGTGAGGCTGCCGTGAGGACACAGGGCCCCGGATCAGCCAGACCCTCTCCTGTCTCAGGGTCCTGCTGTCAATCCCAACTGCAGAGTCCCTTCTGCCATCAGAGGCAACACAGCTGTGGGTGGAAGGGATGAGGTGGGGCCTCCTTCAGGAGACAAAGTCTGGTTCTGTCCGTGGGTTCTCTGTCCCTACAGAAAAGGAGAACAACTTCCCGCCGCTGCCCAAGTTCATCCCCCTGAAGCCCTGCTTCTACCAGAACTTCTCTGACGAGATCCCGGTGGAGCACCAGGTCCTGGTGAAGAGAATCTACCGGCTGTGGATGTGTGAGTGCGCCTGGTGCGCCCCAGGGTGGGAGGCGAGAGGCGGGACCCCTGGAGGGAGGGAGGATTCGGGCAGGGGCAGCCCGTCGGGGGCCCACTGTCCACCCCGCTGTCCTAGGCCCAGTGGTCCCTGCGGTGAATGAGGCCGGTGTCCAGGCCCCAGGCCCCAGTGTCCTGGCTTGCACAGTTCATCCTCGACGTGGGGTCACCAGACTGGGGAGGTGGACAGTGGGTGCCCCATTGCTGGGCAGCATGTTTTCCCACGGCCACACCCCCCCGTGCCTGCTCATCTGTCCTCCCTCTCTTCACAGTTTACTGTGCCACCCTCGGCGTCAACCTCATCGCCTGCCTGGCCTGGTGGATCGGCGGAGGCTCGGGGGCCAACTTCGGCCTGGCCTTCGTGTGGCTGCTCCTGTTCACGCCCTGCGGCTACGTGTGCTGGTTCCGGCCAGTCTACAAGGCCTTCCGGTGAGCAGAGCTGCCAGGCCGCCTGCACCGGGGGGGAACCAGGGCCCACTCCGCACCCCGGTTCCAGCCCAGCTGTGAGGAGCTGTCCCTTTCTCTGCCCAGTGTGACAGACAGGTCACATCCAGGGGTGGCAAACTGTGGCCCACAAGCCGAAGCCAACTACTGTCTGTTTTGTTTTGCTTTCGAGTAATTTTGGCCAGGTGC